TACTGTGAACTTCATTCGTTAAAATAACAGATAACATCATTAAGCTACATATAGTAAAACAGCAGAATGCTTTCTTGACAACTTATCGATGGGGCAACTTACGACCAAAGTTGTCTTTTAATGAGGAGTCAGTTTATATAGACGAGATGTGCTAACGTTTGACGAAAAGTAAGAAGACAATTCTAAGACAATTCCTAACATCATGAAACAACCAATATAGATTTGGCAGAAATCGTGAAGTTTTACCGACGAAGCAAAATAGTCAAGTAACGCATACTCAACCACCAATAGACATTCAGTGCTGAGTAAGATCCCTGGTTTAAACTAGCCAACTCACACAGTGCCAACTAGATGATCGCGATGACACCATCCCTTGGAATATATGATTGTGCATATAACAGACACCAGACTGACAGTAAACTCACATGGATAGCTGTACAGATCAAATTTTCAATAGCTTAAAAAAATACCATAGAGAAATCTACTACAGTTGTAAGCAGCCAGAAGTATTTCAACCACAGGTTATTTTACCAGCTCCGAATACGAACTGCTAGTGATCTGTAGTTCTACAGCAGACCTAACAATTCAAACGTCGTCTTGAAGGTAATGTATGTAAAGGTATACTCTCTTCCTTTAAGTTCAAGTGAGTAGTGCAACCATTAGCATTCGTGCTTAGTCGAAGTTACAATATATAACTAATTGCTGCTAGAATTACTTTTAGGCCATGGCATCTAATTTGATGGCTCTGTTATTAAGTCACAGAATGAGGAATTTTGTGGTATACCTGAAAAAATTACCGTCTTTTCAAGTTTCATGGTATTAAGCTCTCCGGCTGATAAACATTCCTTACCACGTTTACCTATTATTCTACTATTTCAGACTCAAGCTGATTTCACCTCTGGTGATCTCCCCAGAACACTTCTGCAAAGAAGCCTACGAATGGTAGCCAGACCTATGCATGATAATGACTGAACCGTGCAAAACAACAACTGTTAAAAGGATTTAATGGTAATAGTCATCCTGTCATAGTAAAACAAGTTGATGATTGTACATCTAGATTGCGTTAATCTGTTGGAACTAAATGTCACTAGTAATTGGAAATTAAAACTATTGTAAAAATGCTAACAATAATAATAACAGAATAACTTTGGGGTAAACTAATACCTGAAATTAGATGACAAATAAGCAGTGGGTGCAAGGTTCGAGTCTCATTAGGCACAGCATCGCTCACTGAGGTGGAGGCATATCCAGCTGACGAGTCCTAAGTAGACTGAAACGTGCGTTTTGGATTTCTCTGCTAGCCACAGGTGAGTAAATTATCATAATAAATAGATAAGCAATAACGAGACATCCACATAGGACCCCATTTACTAATAGAGGTCGAACAATCCGATCCAGTATAACAATACGGAGTTACAAGTATGTCAATAAATAGTAATATCTCAGTGATGATAAAAATAATGAGAACAGCATGGTAGCGCAGACACTTAAACAGTCAATGGATGTCAAAAATTGAAAAGCCTTACATAATACTAAGGGATGAAGTGTATAGATAGTGAAAGTTTAAGCGAAAAAACGCGTATGCAAAAGGGGTGAAGAAAGGGAGGGAGATGAAATTCGAAGTCATTTATTAAGTTTCCTCTATATCAACCTTTAAAGATACCAAATCTTAGATATTAACTATCAGTATACAAGGATATTATGCACCATTCTCTCGTGGACTATCAGTGTCATTAAACTAAGCACCACATGCTGTACAATGAAATTCACCTTGAAAGAAGTGAGGTGATCTTTATTAGCGGCGGATGGGAAATCAGTGCAAAGCGAAAAGCTAAATTGAATACAGAGGCAACATACTAGATGACACAATAGTGAAGAGGTGATATATATATATATATATATATATATATATATATATATATCCCTAACTAGAACTGAACCAACAAGAATACGATATTTCATTAGCTCCTGTCATTAGAGTTTAAAGACAGTGTAAGACGGCCCTGATACTGCATACTACTAAATCAGTGGAGAAATTATGGAATTGTGTAGTCATACAAGTTGATATTTCCAACCCTATCCATGTAGTTCCAAAACTCATTTTTACAGACTGCAATAAAATTAATAAGACACATCTTCAGTGTCTGACTTATCTGTATACAAGCTTAGTAAGAAGCAAATAAGGTCATTTATTACTTCAAATATTCGATATTTAATATAGTTGTAAAAGTTTTTCGTAAGGTTGAACCGTTTTCTTAATTTTTAACTTATCTAGTTGAATATCAGGTCAAATGAGGTAAATAGACTGTTTTATTCGTATAGAATCTCGCAATAGAATATTTAGTCATGCGTTAAGCCTATGAACTAAAAGGTTTGATAAACATTCTAGTCAGTTGGCAACTCAGGCAAATATTTAAGAGATGCTCGTCAGTGTATGACTATCTTAGGCTTGATAGAAACTCTTAGTAGTTAGGTAAGCAATCAGTAAAGTATATTTATTTAATCGTATTTTCAAATAGTTAACTCTATACATTTGCACTCGTATATGCTCTAATACTGATACTCGGAAGCATTATTTATTTCCTCAAAAATCAAAGAATTCTTCGGTAGAGTACAAATTTATGAAAGTCCTTTCTTGTCTGCAGCATACTAGTCACGATCTATACTCTATAAACTTTCTGAAACAAGCTTTTAAGTTTTAAAGAGAAAGATAAGTACATTTTAGATTTTATTGCTCACCGTCACCAAAATAATATTCAAATACAATCAAGAGTAATTTCTAAGGTTCTGTACTAACTAGCAACTAATATACTCAGATGAAATTTACATCGTGATCCGATGAAAAAAATTAGACAATACTGAATTTCTAACTAGTAAAACCGATCCAGACTAACATTTGTTTACGTGATAATAGAATCTATTTTCATCAAGAATACTAAAGAAGAAAAGTCATATATTTCAGTAAGTCTGATATTTCTCAGATTTATTACATAGTGATGTGATTTCGATAGCTGTCTTCTCTTTGATGGTAACTATAATATTTTTCATTATAATGTGATTTTCTTAGATTTAACAGCTTTGTCGATTACAAAAAGGGGAAATGACAAGTGTCAATCAACAGCAAGTAATATCTTTTATGCAAGAGATGACTGTCGTAACGAAGCAGACAAGTAGTTGATTTCGCTTTGATGTTTCAGGCTATAGCTTCTACATTTAAGTCTTAATAGGAAAACTATCACTACCTGGGAGGTGGGTACATCGAAATGACTGGTCCTAAATAGGTAAAATTGTTCGTCCTAGATTTCACTGCTGGCCACAGTTAGTCAAATTAAAATATCATAAATCTTCAGGTAATATCAAAGCCACATAATACCAGATATCACTAAGTTTGATTTAGTAAAACGATGGTAAATTATAGGCAGGAAGTAATAACGAGTGTCAAGACATGTCTATGTCTGCCTCCACTGACTTGGAAGAAGCAAATGTAAGTGATTTTATCACTGAGAAGTTATTCTGCTTGCCTGACTTGGAAGGTGCAATTGTAGTCCCACAGAAAGATTCATCTTGGCTGATCTGATTGTACACAACATTTAAACGTGGTTATTTAGTCATAGGGACTAGAATAAATGCAAACACTAAGTTTCTAATCTGATTTGTAGTCTCTTCACTTCAGTAATTCCACGTTTCCATATACGATTTCATAGTCGTTTGTATAAGCAATGGATGTGAATAGTATTCAGAAGAAAATTAGCTTCTAGTTATAAAAGTTGTTTCAGATTTCTAAAAGACAACTAAACTTACCTGATAAAGCAGGAGAATATTGAAGATAACAGCTGTTACTTAATTGGGTAAGATGTAATTAATATGAAAAAAAAGTGTACACTACCTAGCTGTTTTACTTGATGGGAAAATGCGAAATGTATGTGATTAAACTTAAAGTATCTTGGTATATAAAATGTAGGTTGTGTTTGCGGTTATACATATATGAATCGTTTTGGGTAAAGTGATTGAATTTCAAAGAAGTCTTCATTTATTGATCACATGAAAAGTTCTTCTAGGACGTTGAAACGTATTTCTTTATCTCCGTTCATTTAATTTTGACAGGTGAAAAGATTATTACACAGATTTTTACTGCATTCTAATATTTGTTCACTGCGTTTTTGCAAACAAGAGTTTTGAATAATAAAAAATTATGTTGGTCTGTTGTCATATCGTTGCGAAAAATCTACGTTATATGTTAAAGCTGTTTCGAGTATGTAAATAAAGGAATCTGTTGGATAATGTCATACAAAAGCCTTGAAAATTCATAAAAACTCTACGCTACTCTATGGGAACAGACATGCTTAGCACAAGCTTATGTCCAATTAAAGTGTATTTTCAAGTTTCGAAAAAGGAGAATAGTATATTCATCACTTTGTCTCCAGCATTCAACAATTAGTGATCATTATGCCAAAAATGCGTCAACAATGATCAAAACTTTGTATTTGGATGGGATCATGTAGTCAGAATATAGAATACAATGGTCCTCAAGTGAGATTTCTTTAAATAAATCATACTTTTCCAATCCTTTGGAAGGATGCATTCCTTAAGTTCAAAATAATTGTATCAGCGAGTTTGACTAGCCTAGCTATATTCTTCTTATCTATAGATATGTGTAAGGGTTCGGTACAGACATTACTTTGATATACTGCATATTATCTTTAGTAGAACTTTATAATCAATCAACTTCTGCTCCATATTGGTAGCGTACTCATTTGGACAAGGTCAATATAGCCAATATGCAGTTTACGTAAAGAACATCATCACCGACCACTTTGAATATGACTACTGGTGTGTTAACTAAACGTCTCTTGCAAACAGTTCTATCCAAAATACACTTACATTAGAATATACAGGTAAAAAATGTAACCAAAATTTTGTAAAGATGTTAAGAACCAGCTCTGAAGTTATTGGTGATCAGTAAATTTTTTCAAGAAAATTTACACACTAGAGTGACTAACCTGGCTTGATGCTGGTGCAAGTATACCTTCAATATACATTTTACTGATCATTTCAACTGTGAATATTAAAGCGACCATCAAATCCAAGATGAATGTAATATACATCAAACTCGGAACTTGTTTAAATGTGTCTGGTGTATTCATACTGACTGAGGCAAGACTGATCATTGCTGTAGTTCGAAACATTATTCTGTAATTAAAAACAGACAGTATCGCATTAAATTTATTGGAGTTTGACAAAATTTATGAAAGGAATGAATATTAGACCAGTCAAAAATAAAAATGATATACGTTTAATCGGAATTGGCATAACATTTTGGAATATCTAAAAGTATATCAGTAACGGGAAACCTTAGGCACGATCAATCAAGTTGTAGATACCGTACTCAAGATCATTTGTTGCTTCATTTTATCACGCTGGTGATACTGCATAGTCTTTTAATGAATTATGATGAATTTTAGGTTGTCAGTTATTTCTAGAGAGCATGATTGCTTATGAGAAGTGTAAATTGTGCATATGTTTTTGTAAAGGATTTTGTATCTAACAGTGAGAAAGGATATGATTTCATCTTTCCTTATTCTTGGTGTTACAAAAAGAAATCTTTGAAAACATTATATTTATTTGAAGTATTTTGTCTAGCTGCACAGAAAATAATATTTTAAGTACTATGTTGGGTTGTTGAAACACCTTCAATATCAGAAGGAGCTTATAGGGATTTTAGTGAACTTTCTTCAGTGTAGTGGTATTAGCAGCATCGGGTAATACAATGTACCCAGATACATGGACTTCATACATGCTCTTATGTGAAATTGGTTAATCCTATCAGATTATCGTTTGTATGAGTAATTCGACTGGTTTGACAACTGAAGCGCACACAAAAAAGGTTGGAATTAGTGGATTCATATTAGAAAGTTCTTAAGACCTTTGGCAGGATCGCGTGGAGATGTGACATAGTGTCACATGGATAAGTGGGAATACAGACAGCAGTATGGTTCCAAAGGTGATAGACCTAATGAATACCTAGAAATCTTTATTTTTCATGTAAAACATTCATGAATTGTGAATAAAATCCCATTTTATTATTGATTACGTTGTCCTTCACATGCTCGATTCTGATTGGTTGGTGGGCACTCAAACCTGATTGGTAGTCACTAAAGTTTAATTCTGCCAGCATTATCAAACTAGCCTTACTGTCGTGTTCAGGTTCACTGTTCTGCTATTTCTTAGTTTACAACTATATTTAAAAAGTACTCCATTACCAAGTGTTGAGTTTCCAACAGTTGTAGTATACACTCAACTGAAAGAACCCTTACAAACGTTCAACACGAGATTAAGAGTATCCATGCTGACAACGTGGAACAAAAGGAATTCCTAGACACTACAGCTCTATGCATATCAAATGAAATGAAAACAACCAAAGGCATTATAAATCTTTTTTAACGTTAATACACCCTTCAGAGTGCATAAAAATTGTTTTCAATTTCTGTAGTATTATTTATTTTGTGTCCTAAAATCTATTTTCATTTCAACGGCCATGTGTATAGACAGATGTCTTCCCAGTGATTGGAGCGAAATTTTGGATCTATTAAATAATCACTGAAAAAAACGGAATTGGGAGTATTTCTATAAAGTATTTTATAACAAACGACTTACACTTGAGGAGGCAAAAGACAACATACGCTCCTATTCATGCAACTGCATCGCTAGAACTGCTTTCAAAAAACTAGACACTCAGGTGTACTGCTAATCAGTATGCTTTCGTCGTGTTTTCAACTAAAATAGTAACAGCTTAACAACACACAAACTAAGCTGATGATGAGTAATATTCTAGTATATCTTACGGAGAAAAAATAAACCATTTTAACCAATATCTTTTAAAAGAATGACTATCCTTTCAGCTCCACCGAATGATTCAATTTCGAGGTTTGGTGGAGACTTATTGACTTCAGATTGGTATCATTCATGGGCCGATAACAACTGGAGAACCATTAGAAACCTGGCAGCACTGGAAAACTGTTTCGTTCGATTATGGCACTCAGTAGCCGGCATCCATGAATCCTGTCGCCAGGAATCGACCCAAGGGCCCTCGGTTCCCGTAGCCAGTACGTTACCATTGAGCCACTATGTCGAAATCTAATGGTACATATTTCCTACTCCTGTCAGCTTATCACACAGGACAGCCTCCATTGACATTAGAGCAGTTAGGAAACTATCCCTCAGTAAAAATCTTCAACAAGAACCGTATGATTTACAAATAGTTAGAAAGACTATCACGTCTCCTACCTGATGAATACTAAAGTCGTGTGTGTTTTTTGTGATGCTGAATTATAGGATATAAATGATACTGAACCATAGGCTAAGTTTTACTGCAACGTAACGTTAACGTTTAGATAACTGGTTTCTTCTAATAAATCAAAAATAGGGTTTGTCTGCGGCATAATCAGAAACATCATCGCTAAATCTCTTAGGCTATACGCCACTCCATTTGAGACTAAATTTAGCGGATTATTTTGCCGTTGGATGGCAATCTTTACCATATGATCTAGAGCATTACCAGTAAAATGTTCAATCGTCAACACAGACATAAAACACAAACATGATATTCTTAAATTCGTAAAACCTGATACATAATCAAAATTCAACTTCAAATTAGGTCTTTGCAAAAAGACGCAGTCTATGATGAGATTTCTTACCATAGTTTCCTATGAAAACTAGAATATTCGTATCATGTAATGTGATCTGTTTGACAATGCAATTGGTGTTAAGATTGTGGGCGTGAAGCTGCATATAACATTCTACTGACTGAGGTGAGTAATTTTTTATCACTCACACCGATTAGCAGCGCTCACTGGTCAGATCAAGGTGATCTAAAATCAACTTCACTGTAGAAAGTTTACAAGCTACCAAAACTATGATAAATAGAATAAGTATTCCATTTAAACGTATGTAATAATGATCGCAACAATAATAATATGCACTCAACCACCCTGTGCCTATGAGTGCAACAGGGAATGAGCCACACGTATTGAGGGAGAGCTAGTTATACTCCCTGGCTGCCCAAACTTCGGTAGGTGGAGCAGTGCTCGAACCAGTGACGCAATGGTTAAAAGTCATCTTCATAAACCACTGTAACACTCAGCTAGGGGTAATAGTACACCAGACAACAGCAATACAAAATAAACTGAATGGCTATTTAAGCGATAGTTCAGGGAAACCATCTAGCTCGTACATAGCATTGAGTGACCAAAATAATTATAGGAAACAGTTTTCAGAAAAATTATCGGAGGTGCAAGTTGAAACAACTAACGCATTTACTAGTGGCGTTTTAAAACTTGAACCTAATTAAAGAGTGGAATACCAAATGCCACAGATGCAGCTACTGAAATAAACAATTAGATTTCCCTAGTTTGACTATAAAAATGATTTTTTTTCGTAAAATAAAGAAATTTGATTCGTTATTCAAGTCTTTGTTGGAATCCCCTTCAAAGTCATTCATTAAAGGGTAATTGAAAATAACCTGTATGGTGCTAAGTTGAAAAGTTAAAATAAATCAGTTTTAATCCACTGAGTAAAATCGGGAATAATGAAGGTTAAAGTCTGTAAACATAATCTTCTTTCTAGCATATTCTATTCGCCCAACAATTTTGAGCAAGTAAAACACTTACATATACATACATATATAAATCATAACTTTCTTACTGGTTTCATTTTAAGATAAGAAGTATCTACAAACCAGAAGATATTCGGATAATACAGACCATACATCACAATAATGCAACTGCTTTTAACAGATTATTCATTAATTTACTCTCATCATCGATAACTGTCTGTTTCACAGGTAACTTGTAAATTCTTGGAATTCAGGTTGCTAGAGAGATATCTGTTACCAGTTTACTACAAGTAATGCAGGAAAATCGGGAGGTTAAAAGCTCTTTGTGGAATCTACATATAAAATAAATGAGGTATTTATTCTTCTCATGTAACATTCGATATTGGTTATTTTTCAAATTTATCAATCATCCACATAATTTATTCCGTATTTACTGTTGCTTGAATAGTTTCCGGTGTCATTTCGCTTAATCGTCCTGACCACGTCAAAAAATATTGGTTGTATTTTAACAACTTGTCTATTCATATTATATATCACTATTGATCTACTATTTTCATCAGCTTTACGCTCCTTTCTGAGTTGTATCCATTCTTTGAATCATTCTATACATAATATAATCCATTTTGTTATCACTCATACTTCAAGTGTTATCAAAAGTACCTTTATCGTTATCATTATTATTATTTATAGTAATGATCGGTAGTGGCTAGCAGTGGAATCCAGGACGCGCATTTCATTGTATTTGGAACTCATCAACTGGATGTAGCTGCCTCCCGGTGAGTGATATTGTTCCCACCGGGATTCAGACTTGGGAACAATCGCTTTGAACGCAGGAACGTTATCCACTACACCACAGAGCCATATATTATTTTATGTTCAAGCATTCATGCTTCCAAACTAGTAACCTATCCTTTATCACCCTTGATATCTCACAACCTCATTGTACTTTACATAGACGAACTAGAAATTTTCCGCACCTTACTTGCACAACCGAAAAAAGCTTTTGACCAACTTGCTTATTCACTCATCTGTATTACATTTATCTTTGCTCTATATCACGATGTAGCTGGATGATTGTAAAGGTCACCACCTTCTGTACCAAAACTTGAATACTAACCTGAAAACTTAATGTCAGATTCATACTCTTGAAAAAGATCTTCCTAGCAAGATCGAAACGTTGAGGAATCATACAAAATATTTGTTTATTTTGTTATTTGTTCTAATATACTACTCCAGGATTACACAAGTAAAAATACACCTTATGCAATGAATTCAGTATATGATAAAACTTTCAGGGAACGGGATAAAGTAGCTTCTATGACAGATGTCTGTTCATAGGATGAATAAAAATACAGTAAATTTGCAACAACTGAAGGAAACTAACAAGCTTTTCGCCCCACTAAAGATTTGAGGTAAAGGCTATTTGACATATAGTTATTGAATATGAGACTTTTTCTGTTTAAAGCTCTTTTAACAAATGGTAAGATTTGTGCAAAACTGCATAAAGTTTACATAATGAGAATATAGTAACAGCAGCCAATAAAATCAGTTTTTTTAAGGAAAAACCATTTAAAATAAA